AACATAGTATAAGACTGCATTTTTTATGTCTTTTCTTTCTCTCAGCAATATTTTATATTTTTCAAGGTATAAATCTTGGACATTTTTTATTAGGTTTATCCCTAAGTATTTAATACATATTGACATTATTGCACATGATATTGCTTTTTAGATTTCAATTTCCTACTATTTCATATCTATTAATATATCAAAATTCAATTTATTTTTATATTATGATCATGTAGACTGAACCCTTGTAAAGCCATGCATTTTTTTTAATAGATAACTTTTTATTGGGTTGAGGAAGAGCCTTTCTATGTCTGTTCAGAATTTTTATCAAGAATGGATGTTGGATCTTATCAAATGTGTTTGGTGATTTATTCAGATGATCACATGCTTTTTGAAAACTCTTAATATACTGATGTACATTGATTTGATTTTAAAATGTCACACTGCCTTTCATTCCTGGAATAGCCTCAACTTGATCATGATGTATTATCCTTTTTATACATTATGAGTTTCAATTTGCTGAAATTATATTTAGAATTTTTGTATCTATGTTAGTGAAGGATATTGGTTTCTATTAATATATTTTTTTTTTACTTAAAATGCCTTCCCTTAGTTTTAGTATCAGAGTACCAAATGCTGGCCATATAGAATGTTTTGGAAAATGTTATTTTCCGTTCAGTGCTCTGGAATAATTTGTATAAAACTGGTATCATTTCTTTCTTCAATATTTGAGAGAATTCATCAGTGGAGGCCAGGCTTGGTGGTATATGTCTGTGATCCCAGCTACTCTAGAAGCTGAGGCTGGAGGGTCCTTTGAGACTAGCAGTTCAAGGCGCTATGACAGCTCCTGTGAATAGCCCCTACACACCAGCCCAGGCAACATAGTGAAACGCTGTCTCTTTAAAAAAACAAACAAACAAACAAACAAACAAGTCAACAGTGAAGCCAGCTAGGCCTAGAGTTTTCTGAGGGTATAGTTTTCAACTATAGATTCAATTTTTAAAGTGGATATAGGGGTATTTGGGTTTTTTGTTGCTGTTGTTCTTGTTAATTTTATCCTAGTTGTTGAATTTCTTAGCATGAAGTTGTATATATATATAACATTAACTTATCATCATTTAATATCTCTAGAATCTGTAATTAATGTCACCTCTCTCATCCCCAATATTTGTAGTTTGTATCTTCTTTCTTTTTTTCCTAATTATACTTGCTAGAGGTTTAGCAATGAATCTTTTTAAAGAAACAGCTTTTAGTTTCCTTGAATTTCTTTGTTTTTTGGTTTTATTGATTTCTGCTCTGTTATTTTTTTTCTTTATTCATTTTTTTTCTGTCTCTTTTGATCTTATTTTTCTAATTTCTTATGATGTGAGATGAGTTCATTGGCTTTTATTTCTGTTATAGATATTTAGTGCTATAAATTTTCTTTTAGTCGTTGCTTTATCTATATCTCATACATTTTGATATATTATGTTTTCCTTTTCTTAGTTCAAAACATTTTCAAATCTACAGCTTGATTTCTTCTTTGGCTCATGGGCTATTTGGAAATATGTTACTTAGTTCCCAGATATTTGAAAATTTTCTGGAGTTTTCTCTTATTAATTTCAAATTTAACTGCACTGCAGTCAGGGAACACACTTTCTATGATTTGAGTCCGTTTAAATTTATTGACACTTTATTCATGGTCAAGAATATGGTCTGTTATGGTATATGTTCCATTTGTACTTAAAAAGAACGTATATTCTGCTGCTGTTTGGTGGAGTGTTCTAAAAATGTCAATTAAGTCCAGTTGGTCAATTGTGTTGTTTGAGTCTCTATATCCTCATTGATTTTCTGTCTACTTGTTCTAGTAATTACTAAAAGAAGGATGTTGAAATCCTAAACTGTAATTGTGGGCCGGGCATGGTGGCTCACGCCTGTAATCCTAGCAGTCTGGGAGGCCGAGGCGGGTGGATCCCTCAAGGTCAGGAGTTCAAAACCAGCCTGAGCAAGAGTGAGATCCTGTCTCTACTAAAAATGGAAAGAAATTAATTGGCCAACTAAAAATATATAGAAAAAATTAGCGGGGCATAGTGGTGCGTGCCTGTAGTCCCAGCTACGTGGGAGGCTGAGGCAGGAGGATCGCCTGAGCCCAGGAGTTTGAGGTTGCTGTGAGCTAGGCTGATGCCACGGCACTCTGGCCACGGCAACAGAGTGAGACTCTGTCTCAAAAATAAATAAATAATAAATAAATTAATTAAATTAAACTGTAATTGTGGATTTGTCTCTTTCTTCTTGTGGTTCTATCAGTTTTTTGCTCTGCTGATAGGTACATAAACATTTAGAATTGTTATCTTCACTTGATGAATTGGCCCATTTATCATTGTGAAATGATGGTCTTTATCTTTGGTAATATTCTTTGCTCTGAAGTTTTCTTGGTCTGCTATTAATCGACCTACTCTGTCTTTTATTTATTTTAATGTTAGCATGAAATACTTTTACTTTTAATCTGTATATATTTTTATATTTAAATCAATTTTTAAAGCAGTATGTGGGTCTTATTTTTAATATGATCTGACAATACCTGCCTTTTAATTGGGGTGTTTAGATTATTTACATTTAATGTGATTATTGATATGATTGAGTTTAAATCTACTATTTTTGCTATTAATATTTCATTTCTATTTGTCCCATCTATTCTTTTTTTTTCTCTCTCACTCTCTCTGTTTAATAAATGATAAAATCACAATGCATGTTTTGTTCTCTCAAGACATGAAAAATATTCATCTATTAGACTGAACATTTTCCAGACATAGGTTTCCATCAAAGAGAAATAACATTTTTTTTTTTGTCCCATCTATTCTTATCCCCTCCTTTTCTGCCTTCTTTTGGATTACATGAACATATGTTTTTAAACATTTTATTTTATTATATTTTTTGTTGATAATTTAGCTATAATTCATTATTGTTTTATTTTAATAGCTGATTTAGGGTTTATTGCATTCATCTTGAACTTATTCTGGTCTTTTGTTAAATGATATATCACTTGATACCAAGATTTGAACCCTGCAAGAGTATACTTCCATTTCTTCCTTCCTGGCCTTTGTGCTATCATTGTATATTTAACTTTCACATATGTTATAAACCCCACAATACATTGTAATTATTTTTGTTTAAAAAATCAATTATCTTTACAGAGACTTAAACAATGATAAAAAACGTTTTTATATTCACACCTGTTGTTACCATTTCCCCTGTCCAGAGCCTTCCTGCCCAACACCTCCTTCAAAGCAATCTTAGAAGGAGTAAAATTTATTTATTTATTTTTGAAAAAATATATTTTTTTATTTCAATAGATTTAGGGGGTAGAAGTGGGTTTTGGTTGCATGGCTAAATTATATAGTGTTGAAGTTTGGGCTTTTAATCTATCTGTCACCCGAATGAATAGTGTACTCCAGTAGGTAACTTTGCATCCCTCATTTCCCTTCTACCCTTCCTCTTCTGAGTCTCCAATATCCATTATGTCACTCTATATGACCGTGCATACCCATAGTTTAGCTCCTGCTTATAAGTAAGAACATGCAGTATTTGATTAACTGTCCCTGAGTTACTTCACTTAGGATAGTGGTCTCCAGTTCCATCCAAGTTGCTGCAAAAAACACTATTTCATTCTTTTTTATGGTTGAGTAGTACTCCATGGTATGTATATATGTTTATACACACACATACACACCGGATTTTCTTTATCCACTCATCATTTGATAGGCACGTATGTTGATTCCATATCTTTGCAATTGTGATTTGTGCTGTGACAAACATACAAGTGCAGGTTTCTTTTTGATATAATGACTTCTTTTCCTTTGAGTAGATACTCAATAGTGGGATTGCTGGATGGAATGGTAGATCTACTTTTAGTTCTTTGAGAAGTTTCCATACTGTTTTCCATAGAAGTTGTACTAATTTACATTTTCACCAAAAACATGTAAGCATTCCCTTTCCACACATTTGGGCCAACATCTCTTGTTTTTTGACTTTTTAATTATGGCCATTCTGACATGGGTAAGAAGATATCTCCTTGTGGCTTTAATTTGCATTTAGAAGGGGGAAAATTTAAAAACTATGGTTAGAACTTTCTCTTCTTGCTGTAGCAAAAGTTGGTTTATCTTGACTTGTCAATGAAACTGGGAATCAGCTGGCTATTAAAAGCATACTGAGGGCCATGAATTACTCAGTATAGTGGAGGCAATAAAAGGAAATCATCCCTTCACAAAATCATTGAGCTCCTCACAATTTGTTGAATCATTCTGGATCTCCTCTATTTGCTGAAATATATGATGTTTGTAAAGCACAATGCACCTGGAATAACTTTCATTTTTCCTTCAGCATTTGGATGTCGGAACTTCCAAGAAGAGGTAACAAGACAATTTGGACATTTATCACTCCCTCCGCTCTTGGCATTGGCATTATACTCTGAGAGTGCCAAAATCTTGGCAACTTCTGGATTTAGTTGTTTGAACCGCAGGTGCTGTGGACAGACAGCCCAACAGATGACCATTATGAACTTGGCACCTACAGACCAGCTTTTGGAGAGGAGAGAAGATATAGTCATTTCCTACTTCCAACATACGCCTTGATGTAAAATGTGAAGCTGGCCCAGAAAGCTAATCTAAGTGGGCCAGGTGCCTGGTAACATCCTTTTCACATTTGCCAGCTGTTTTTTCTTGGCTGGCATCACCAGAAGAGCTTGTCCTGATCCCATCAGACACACAGTGGTGTGCAGACATAATGAGGTTCTGGCACAAGTAACTTACCTGGGCTAGCATAGGAACATAGGAATAGGTCAGGTTGCCCTTTTCCAGTTCTGCCCGCACAGTGGAAGCTGAATGTTTGCCATAGGGGGCTGCCAGGCTTTCTGGCTGACAATTCTAATTCCAAAGTTTCCAAAGAGGACACATACAACCATATAGACACTAACAGGGAGTATACTTTAGGCTAAAGCTCCAGAAGAAGCCACACCAAACCCAATTAACATTTACCTGTTGGTACAAGGCATTATGCTAGGGGCTAAGTCTAGTTGAAAGAAGTATGATCCACATTCTGGTCTTCCACATATGCAAATCTGGCTGGAGAGAAAGGATGTAATGGTCAAGAGATAAATGATAATAATAAAAGAGATGATTTAATTAGGCAACACATTCATTACCAAATGAAGACTGTAGATGGTGAATTAATGGAGATCAGAGCAAATACAGGCTAGCTACACTCTGATGGGTTTTAGAAGGCAGGGATGGGCTGAGTTTTAAATGAGATAAGGCCTGCAGAGTGATCAGTTAGTATAGAAATCGTGAAGCAATTTGAAGAAGATAAAACCATGTACTTAGGACCAGAAATCAAGTGTTTGGGGCAGAGAAAGGCCAAGGAGGAAGCTCAGCATCACTATATTGGTTTTGGTAACTGAGATATTATTGGGGTACCATGGAGATGAAAAACATGCATCCCGAAACTCTATTATTTCCTGGCTGGTAAAACTTTGAACAAGTTATTTCACCCTCTAAATCTCAGTTTCTTCATCTGTAAAATAGGAAAAACAATATTACTAGATCCCTTCAAAGTGTTGTTAGAAGGATTAAATGAATTAATACATAGAAATTAAGCACATAACAGTGTCTGACACAAAGTAAATATTTTATAAATATTAGCTAATAGTAGTGGTTGTGTCAGTGGCATAAAAAGTTTGTTGGGACCATACCTTAAAACAAAATCTGTGACTTACAAGAACTTAACAATATCCCCTTTTCACATGAGGGACCTGAGGCTGAGAGATTACACACTCACCAGTGGCAGGGCCCATCTTCTAACTTCCTGTCTCATGCCCTTCCTACTGCACTGCCTCACAGCCGGTACTTAAAAAGCCAGGAATGTGTGGATGAGACCAGTTAGGGGCTGAATGTGGCAGATTTTAACTAATTTTTATCTTAATTTGTTATCATCCTTCTGATTCTAGATAAGCTGTGCTATTTTGTTCAGGACTGTCTATATGATTGCCTGCCTGCATCTGAGAGCCAGCTGGAGGGGCAGTGGCAGCAGCCTGGCATTTAGCAGTGAAACTGCCTTGTATATCCCACAAGGGCCTGGCAAGCAGCCCGCACCTGGCCTGGGCAGGCACTCCCTGGCCAGGTTTCAGGTCAGCAAAAAGTGATTCATTTTTGTCGTGCATTTGAAGAAAGCAGGAGAATCACAGGGCTTTAATGAGCATATTTAATTGGAGCTTTTTCTCAGGAGAAGAGAATATGTCCTCTTGATGTCTGTCATCTGAGGAGAAAAGATGAGAAGCCTAATGACCTGAGCCCAGCAGGGCTCTATTTCAACCACTGAAGACTTAGCTGCGGGGAAGCTCCAGGATGTCAGGAAGAGACACTTCCAGTAGGGGGGCTGCCTGAGAAAGAGGGGCTCTGTCTTCCCAGGGAGCTGGAAGGGAAGCAGAGTTAGGATATTTTTTCTTGGAGCCAGGATGTATTACTTGTGTGTGAGGTTTTTCTAAGTGACTAAAACCATTACAGAGGCCCCCTTATTATTATTTAATAGTTATATGCCATAGCTGCCTCATCTTGGTTCAGTAGGCCTGGATCCAGAGAAACTGTGGATCTAATACAATCCAAATCCACAAATGTGCCTAGGTGTTCCCTACACAAAAAGCAAGAAAAATATATCTGAAAATACTGTATAAAGATGAAGTTGACATGGTCCCTGCCTTCTGAAAATGCATAATCTACTTGGAGAGACATGTAGTGAAATGTAGTATACACTTTTTAGGGCAGTTGCTCTGCTCACAATGATTCCCTGTTCTCTAGATATAGCCCCTGATGCACAGGTAAGGAAGTAATCTTCCAACACTCACAGCAGCAAATTGGTCCAGGGGTAGACACTGGACGCAAGCTGGGCTGGGCTGACTTTCTCTCTCTCCCTCCTCTCTCTCTCTCATATAAAACTAAGAACAAAAGAGACAGAGATTGGGTGTCATAGGTAATAGCAGTACCCTGGGCAGAAGGTCTATGAACCCCCAAACCTTCTTTCAATTTCAAAGTCAACATTTCCTTTAGTACTGGAAGACATGTAGCAATCTTCGCCAATAATTTCCCTTTGCCTAAATTAGTTTGAGTTGGCTTTCTGTCAGCCACATCCAAATAAGCCCTATTCATGTAAGTGATATGATTTAAGAAGGTAATCAGTTGAAAATCTATGGAAATAGCCAGAGACAGGGGGATGTGGTGGCGGAGGGGATAGCCAATATCTCTAAATGCTTCTAACAAATATAAAGGGAGGCTGTACATCTAGTTATCCACACAGAACAGAGCTCATGCCCCAAATGCCATACATTGATGAATCTTTTGGTATCTGCTAATACTATGGTAGAATAAAAGTAATTCTATCTTGGGAGTCAGATGTAATTTTCTGGTTCTAGCTCTACTGCTAAAAACCTGGGTGACCTTGACATGTTGCCTCCCCTCTCTCTCTAGGTCTTAGTTTCTGCCACAGGCCTTAGTTTCTTTCCAACTCTATGGCCATTGGTTGATAGCAATGATAGACTGTGATATCCATCTACATAAGCAATAGTAAAAATAGGTCCAATATCCCCAAAAAATGTAGAAAAATGAAGAAAGGGTAAAAATGGATTTATGCAAAAGGATTTAAGAGTCAATTGATTCATTTACCATAGATAGTCACCAAGTAAAGCTTAATTGAAGAATTCTAATGTCTTGAAAACATATTTTGATTTACACTTAATATGTCCTTATTAGGGGAAAGTTTAGTTCAGTTCAACTTAAATATTTATGTAGCATATACCAAGTACTGTGTTATAACAAGACATTGAGGTATGGACAAAGACAGAGTTCCTGCCATTGACCAGATGTTTTCTATTATTAACTCTTTCAACACCTTATTTCATCTATCTCCTTTCAGCGTATGTGTCTGACAATTCTTCAATTGAAGAAAGCATTGTCAAAAATAATTATCGGTGGTAATAGTAATAATAGATAAATATTTTGAGTCTTTACTGTCAGTTACTGTACTAAGTGTGTGGCTTGCATTATCTTATTTAAGTCTCTCAACATTGTAAAGTTGGAACTATTATTATTCATATTTTATGGATGATAAAATTGAGGCTTAAATAATACTTTTCCTAAAATTATACTTCACCTTAGCATCCATGTTCTTAATATACTACCGAGAATTATTTCAGTGTAATACCTGTGACATACTTAATAATTATCAAGTACTTACTATGTGTGAAGAGCTGTGCTAAGAGTTGATAAGTTAAGGTAACATTTTAGAACCTGGGTAGAAAGACATTTTGGACTCATGATTCTTTATAACTTTTTAATCATTGAAGTTATTCAAAAATGTAAAGGATTAACTAAAAAGGTCATGGATTCCTTGCCACTTAGATGTGTTCTCCTAAGTTAGATGATATTTAGATGAAAAGTTTTAAGGAAGTGTGAATCCTTATACCAGGGAAAGAAAGTTAACATAAAAAACTCCTGAGATCTCTTGCATTCCTGAGCCCCTGTGAAAATGCTGAAGTTGACTGTTTAAAATGTGGCCTAGGGGAAAAAAGTAATTCTTAGAACTGTCAGAAAACCTGCCAAGGAGCATTGAATATTACCAGGGTTAGCCATGCAATCACATGACTTTTATCTTGTACAAACTGTAAATCAATAAAATTAATGCAATGAATTGGAACCCAGCTTCTCACTGAGAGAAGGGGTACAATTTATCACATGTGTGGACTATGCAATGGATAAGCCTCCTGTAGCTCAAGTCAACAAATGAATTTTGCTACTTTGCAACACAAACCCTAGTCCTATTATTCCTTTTGCAATATGATTTTCCCTGGGTGTCAGAAAAAACCAAGTGTTTTAGTTCTCAGCCAAGGAAAAGATCATGTCTTAAGATAGAAATAGTTCCTTGGCTACTGAATTCCCACCATAGGTTTGGAAGTTCTACCAGGAAAAATGAATGTTGCTCCTACTTATTTAATTGTCAGCCCCTTGCTTTGTCATTGTGCAGCAGGTGAGCATGCAGCAAGCCATGTTTTGATCTTAAAAGGATATGAACAGAACTTCTGACATTAGCATTCCTGGGATTTTGTAAGCTTAAATCAGCTCTAGTTTTGAATGCAGGAATGAATGAGAATGGGATTATATGGGAACTCTTTGGATGATCAAATAAGACTAAACCAGGGCCAACACATTAATATTTAGTATTTCTATTACGTAAGCTGTCATTTATTCTTAGCATGTTAAAGTAATCACCAGGTCCAACCACCTTATGTATAAATGAGAAAATTGAGGAACAAGTAGACAAAGTTGCTTTTCCAAAGTCAGGTGGATAAAGCAGCAGAGCTGGGACTGGAATGAGGGACCATGAAGTTCACATTCACCATGGGGCTGTTTTCCACACCCTAATGCTTATTCATCAAGTCCCACCCCACTGCAGCTGGGTCTCAGCTGTGGAGCTGGGCAGTCACTTGCTCACGTTAGTGCCAAGATGAGACAGGAAGTGGCAAGTATCTCAGCCCCAGGCTCAGAGTTGGACTAAGTGTGTGGTTAATTACAAAGACTTTCTCAGGGGCCTCTGAGGCTGCAAGCTGCTGCTTTAGCCAGTCACTGTAGGAAAAGGCCTGCAGTAATGAATCCCTGAGCAAGAATTTTTAAGTACTTTGGGGACACTGTTGAGGTGTGAGTGGGATCTCCAAGTATATATTTTCATGAGAGACTTTTTTCTTCTGAAAGAATGAGGAAGAGGTTTGCACATGTATCTAGCCATAGAAGGGATGAGGAGAAAGGATGGGATTTCAAGACAGAAGCTGAAGGAACTGTTTTCCTAAAGTTCTCTGGAAGACAATGAACATAAGCATCTCTTCTTTGAACTCAAGCAGCACGGTGCAATTTCCTTGATCTCTGTGAGGATCTCGTTATCTCCTTCCCATGTGGCAGCTTGAGAACGCAACTTTGGCAGGCCTGAGAGAACGGGACTGGAAGCACAGGTCAAGGATCAAGGCAGCTGTGGGAGAGTAAGGGACCTCAAGGGACTTTGTGGGCAAGAGACTACATAGGTTGGAATGCATAAGTTCACCTAAGATAGCTATTTGGGGATGGTGATGAAGAGGGGAGGATTTTGTGTGTGTGTGTGTGTGTGTGGGGAGGTTCCTCCATTATGCTAATGGCATGTAAAAGCCTGAGAAATATGGACTGTTAAGGTTAAGAAATAATGAAAAACACGAGATAATGATAATAATGAAAAACACAGGATAAGAGGCATTACCTCCCTCTTTTTATCTTTCTCAACTTCCCAAGGCTGCTCTTTAGGAACTTCTCCTTTTCAAGACTGTCCTTGATGTCCACTGATTTTTAAATATGTAATTAAATGGCTATGCAGAGGAAAGGTACATGATATGATTTGCCATCAACTCTAAGCTTTTTGGTTTAGGATTTGCTTCCTTTAAACATTTTAAAATTGCATTTCCTTGCTATCTACAAATTGTAAGTCTCTATAATAGACACTGCAAAGCACACAGCCATGAATAAGATAAGGTCCCTTGGCTGCAGGCATTAACAACACTAGAAATGGAAGAGAAGACATATTCACAGCTGCTGCCATAGAAAGCTGTTTGTGGTAAGTAGCTTGAGTGATACGAAAGAAGCATTTTAGGAATTGAGGCAGAAGGAAGCATATCTTGCAGGTGTCAGCAAGGCTGGCTTGATTGGATAGCTGACATTATTCTTAGACTTACAGCCATCTAAGTAGGATAATTTATTTTCATTGCAATAAAAATATTTTAATTACATTAAGTGCACGTAAATCTCTAATAATAGCAGAATGTTTATTTCTATAATGACATTTGTTAAATGCAAAAAAATATGCTGATTGTCTTTTGACTTGAACAATTCTTGGTAGATTGGTGTCAAGCATTATGCCCCTACAAAGTCCCAAGTCATTAACACAAAATCTAATTTGACCAGAGGACTGTTTCCTTGCCATCCCACATACAGTTGCTGAAGTTTAGGAGGTCCAAAAAATAGCACTCCTCTTGTCCACTTGGGTTCTGAACCAAGGGAAAAATGAGGCTTATGAGTAATGTAGGCTAGAGGTCAGAATATTTTTATTACCAATGAAGCTGATGTCAGAGGATATAGTTTCTATTTATGGGCTAGCACGCTTGCTAATACTGAATCCCAGAAGTAGACAGAACAAGCACACCCTCCCTGCTCTGTTGAGAATGCCTGCTTTTATAAAACTCAGGGCGTGGAGAAGTGGAGCATAATGCATGCTTCCTGCAGAAAGATCAGATGTCAATTTGGAAAGGCAGAGAGGAAGGGCCAGGATTACGCAGATTCACTTCTTAGTCCCAACCGATCAGGCACCACATGCCTTCTCCTCCATGGAAAGAAGTAAAGAGCAGAGAGAGGACAGGACGGCTATGGTTCTGCAGATTCATCCTCATGGAAAGGATGGGGTGAAGGAAGCCATTCCTGCTCCCAGTTCCCACAATAATCGCCCTGAGAAACAAGTTGGAGTCAATGTAGCAGATATAAAATTTATCTTATTCCCACTTAAAAGAACCAGCTACCAGCTGCGAGCTGTGGCCTGGATGAAATGTAATGGAAACAAAATAAAACATCAACAACAAAAATCCCCAACCACAGAGACACACTCCTTTGTTTTCTCCTCTGCTTCCTGGAAGACCCTCCATTTCCATGTTCATCAAATCTTAACACAGAAAATCCTGCATCCACTTACTTTTCACTTCATTAAACCTTAAACTCATCATTTAATGAGTTGTGCCTGCAGAGGCATTATCTCTCAGAATGTGATGGTGAGGGAGATTGGTCTTTGAAGTCAGGCTTATTTCACAGGACATGTGCTCAGTCCATCATATTACCTACATTCTGTTAGTCTTCCT